TCATATTGCACGATAAATATTTGCATAAATCCTGAATAACTACTTCAAAATTAGGCAAATTTTGGAAAAAAAAATATAAAATTCTTACTACACAAAACTTTAAACTATTGTCTACTGATTTATGCAACAAATTATTCAAATTAATCGGGGCAGAAAATTTAAATATGGACACAAGAATTAAGTGGAGCCATGTTATAAACAGAAACGTTAAAATGTTGGTATTTTCAGATACAAACAAACTTTAAACTTGTATTAAATATGCATTTTTTTCTAATCTTGAAATCTAACAGACATAAATTGACATTGTAAAATTCTCTGGATCAAAAATAGCCCAGAAAAGAAATATCACACATGACTATCAATCATTTCTTACTGCTTAGCCGTCGTTAACTTGGTAAGTCTGAGATTACCACTGATAGGAAATGTATTTATCGAATGGTGAACGTCTTATGATAATATTGTCACACCTCTATCTCTACATTAAATGCAAACTGAAATCGGAATGCCTATCACATCATGTCTTGATAGCTGGATTAAACATTGGAATTATCATGGTGGTTTTTTGGGGAAAAAATCTATAAATAAGCTCTCTATATTTAAATTTTTTTAAACTAAACGATTAGAATAAAAAGATATTCATAAAATACAATCTGATTACATTGAAGTCACGAGTTGATGATTGTTAAATCACTGTTCGAAACCTGTCAGGTGAAGGTAGTTACTTCCCGAAGACAGCTAGTGAGGTTACGCAATACCTTATATTGATTAAAGCTAGACATTACCATTGTTAAAATGTCATCAAATCAGTGGTCTAGAGGTTAAGAGTTCGCGCGTGAGATCGAAGGTTACGGGTTCGATCACCGCCTGAGCGGTTGTAAATACTAGTTGTTGGTGAGGCCCTTTAGTTGGACGAGACAGTCATTCAGTGCTTCCAGATTTCTAATAATAGTCAAACAATGATCGATTTAAAACTTCAATGAAGCTGAACAATCTTTAAAATTGTATAATGAAAATCTTATTGTAATATGAATACATGTTAAACAGAAATTACTGATTATAATACAATAGTGGTTTTGAGATTTTTTTTTCCGTTACAACAAAATTTTCACCATGTTTATGAGTCTAGGTACAGGATTGCATTTGTTTTGGCTTTTAGTTTCAAAACACTTAACTCTCCTCCATAAATAATGACACTTTTACTTAAATTATTTCTAAATACAATTCATGTTATTCAACTGTTTGTGAATTAAGCAAAAAAGAAATGAATAGTTAATTGTTCAGTAACTAGAAATCACAATAATCTTTTTTTAAAATAATATCAACACTTATCCACTAAAGCAGTTCATGTAATAGATAGAAATGTACAAAATACACTTGTATTTCTTGATATCGGCTGTTAAAAATTTTTGTAATTATTAGGTTTGTCACTAGATATGCTTGAAACTATTACGGGTTCACCTTAGTCGATACACCCGAACGAGACAATGAACCAGCTTCCAGGTAGGCTACCCTGATCTGAAACGGCTAAGAGAAGTCTTGATAAGCGTAGAAAGTATATTCTACAAATACCCAGCAATCACAGTACAATTAAGCATACAACTCTCGTTTATTTATACATCATAGAAACGTCCTTGGGACAGTTACGAAAATAGCACACTAAAATACACAGCAGCCAATCACAGCCAAGGATTTTCGTGGTGGGAATTGAAATCTCAAGGTCAACTGATCAGCCCATGCTGGAAAACGTGAAAACCGAAATAAGGCATTTATCAAGCGAGTTTTGGGGATCTAACGTCCCCAACACTAACTTATTAAGTATGATAATTATTTCTAGATTGTATTTCTGTTATTCAAATGTTGTTCGATCACATTTAGTTTACTTGGATTAGTAATCATTTATCAATCGTCACCTCTTTGACTGAATGCAAAGGAGAAAAATCTTTGAATAAAAACATGAATATTTAAAAATCACTACGTTTTTGGTATCATGAATCGATCATTATAAGACCACGATTAGAAACTTGAAAGCACTGGACGGCCGTCTCGTACGACTCATCAATAATAAGCATCTGTTATCCCTCAAGTGGCAATCGAACCCATGACCTTCTGTCTTACCCACAAATGCCCAACCTTTAAATCACTGAGCCAGTATCCAATGATACTAATGTCTAACTTCAATCAAACCACGATATCGAACAACCTCAGGCATTATCTGCGGTAGATAACTGTATACACCCAGCAGGGTTGAACTCCATTCGTCACGACTTTTTACAAGAATTCTGAGAATTTTCTCATGAAGCTAGTCACTAGTAAGCACATTTCACAACTCTTTAATGAAAATCATATATCTGTATATTCATTCCGCCTGGAGCTGCTCTAGGGATAAAGCCGGTCCCAAGCATGGATAAAGGAGGATAGTCAGGCTTGGAGTTAGCTACCCTATCCTGTAGAAAACTAACTAGCTAAAAAAGTCCCTTAGCATAAAAAATATAGGTCTGTGTGTTTCAAAAGATAAATTCATCTTTTTTCGATAACACAAAAATGAATGAGTTACAAATAATTGTCAACTTCATAATTATATGGTCAAGGAATAAATTAATAAGCCAGAAATTTATGAAATAAGCAGTAAATTTCTTCAATAAATTATAATTACATATCCAAGAAATTGAGCATGCTTAAGACAAATACTTCATCTTGTAAATGACACTGTATGAATTCAAGATTATTTATAAAATGTAATAATAATGTTTTTTTCATTTAGAGTCATGAAGATCAGTGTATTTACACACTGAAATCACTAATCAATCATTGTTAGACCATCGTTAGAAATCTGGAAGCACTGAACGACGACTGTTTGGTCCCGGTGTCGTACGACCTGCTCACTAATGACTAGCTTCGTGAGGAAATTCTCGGAGTTCTAGTGAGAAGACGTGACCGGTGGAGTTCAACCTTATCGGGTGTAGGTAGTAACTACCAAAGACAAACGGGTGAGGTTGCGCAAAATCCCTAGATTGATCAAAGTTAGACATTAACGCCGCTGGATGTCAGTCCAGTGGTTCTG